ACATGTAGTTTTGGCTTCAACACAACCACAACAAGATAATTTTGAAGAACATCCAGCCAAAACATTAGGACCAAACAATCGTTGCTTAAACATAGTCATAAGCCAACCAGAATGGGGATGTCCCAAACGTGCTTGCCATAAATGAAATTTATGTTCGGCAATACTCGAAAAACAGGCAAAGACTCAACCCTAGACACTGAATGAGGAAGAGAAAACCGAGAATCAGAAGGTGATGACAAAGATGATGATGATGGTGTGGATGTGCCCTCTAATGCATCCAGGTGAAATATGCGACCACATTTACGCCCCCGACCGATCTCCCTCCCATCGTCAGATCTTGAACAGAACAACAAGAAGGAGCAAATACAACACGACAACCCTGATCAGTAAGCTGACCAACAAAAACCAAATTCGGAACAACATTAGGCACATGTAACGTATCAGGAAGATGTATCTTAGAACCCTGAACATTACCCATCCCATGAACATCCATTTGAGTAGGGCTGGAAGTTTGGTACCGGTATTTTGGATAAACCGAATACCATACCGAATTTATCACTATTTGGTATTACCAAATACCGGTTTATTTTTTAGGGATTGGGATTGATTTTGGAGTGCTATTCGGTATTCGGGATTGGGATCGGTATATACCGAAATACTGAAAATTAAAAATTAATGAAATATAACACACAACCTTTAGTATTACTCACTCTTTCACAACTTAGAAGCCCCCATCCAACTCAATTTTGACTTTCCAGATTAAGTCATTCTCGTTTCTCACCTAATATCTTGTTATTTTAATAACACCAAAAAACAAACACTAGTATTAGTCGTCTCTCAACCTCCAATTCGTCAAATTAAGGATTACCATGACAAGAATTTGAGATGTCACATCTCCTCTATTCTCCTTATCCATATCCTAGCTTTAGGCAAACTCAAGACTCTTTGCTTAGTCTCTTTGCCCTAAATTAAACAATCAAATCTAATTTATGTATTTAATTAATTAGGGATACCAAAATATTTAGGTATCGATTGAGATACGAAGTACCGATTGGGATACCAAAATATTTAGGGATTGGGGTTGGGATACCGAAATTATTTAGGGATTGGGATTGGAATTGACTTTAGGGTGTAATTCGGTATTTGGTATGGGGATACCGATACCGTACCGATTTCCACCCCTACATACGAGCACCATTAACAACTTGTAACGACAAACCATCAACAGAATGAATATTGTTAAGCATCGACCCATTACTCGTTATATGATTAAAGCATGCCGAATCCAAAATCCAAGGAGGAATTTTACCGGATACTTGAAGGGAAGCAAACACAGAGGAAATAGCCTTAACCATCAATTTTTCCAGATTCTCGGCTGAGAGAGTGGGACCATCCGCAGTAGTGACAGGCGCGACAACATAGGCTGGACCATGGCGGCGTTGAGAGGATCCATAAGCACCACCAGTCAAGCTGCCTTCTTGAATTCTACCTTGGAGAACTGGGCAGTCGGGAATGATATGCCCAGACTTCTTGCAATATACACAGAAATTGCGAGTCCTGCAAAACTTTTGAGTATGTCCTTTGGTACAAAAAAATGACATTCTATCTCACTCGATGAGAGACGCCGCTGGAATTGGTCGCGACCAGCAGCAAAGGCCATGGCCTGGTCGTCAGCTACATCATCCACTGCAGCAACATCTTTCGCGGGAACACCGCACGCCACGCCACGAGCGGAGAACACAACGTCTCCTTGTCCCGGGCGGCTGTCAAATGCAGCTTGCTTTCTCAACCGGCTCTCTTCTCAGATAAGGTAGCTGAGAACTTCCGCCGTCTTCAAGGTCTCGCGGTTCAGGAGAGTCGCACGAACAGGCTCAAAGGCGGGATGCAAACGCATCAAGAATTGATACAGCCTCGTTCACTCTCATTCAACCTGCATCTCCTTCGAGGCAGTAGCATTCATCAGGGACCCAACAACCAAATCTTGTTCAATCCATAGCTGTCTAGCCGCGTTGAAGTATGTGGCGATGTCGCGATCTCCTTGGTGAAGCTGGGCCAACTCGACCTCGATCTCATATTGACGAGCAGGGTTATTGTGGCGTAGGTCTCTGCAAGATGCTTCCACATGAAAGCAGCGGTGGGAAGAAGGGAAAGTCCCAGAATAATCGTTGGATCAACAGAGTTCAGGATCGCGGTCTTGACCTTGGCATCGTCAAGACTCCACTTGCGAATAGATTCGGAAGACGCGGTGGTAGCGTCGGGCTTCTGATCGGTGCCATCGATATTCCCCAGCAGTTCTTTCCTTAAATATAAATCCGGAACTGAAATTCCCGAAGAGCATAGTTCTTTGAGGTAAGCTTAACTGAGATATGATCGGAATCCATCGTAGGCTCTGATACCATGTAAACTAACGAAACAGAATCAGAAATAGGAATGACACAGAGGTTTACGTGGTTTCCTCGTTCAAGATGAACGAGACTAGTCCGCGGCCGAAGCAAGTAGTTCTCTCTTATTGACTTAATCGGCTTGTACAGTTTACATCATTATATATAGGTTTTCATATTCGAAAACCCTAGGCCGCTAACCCTACTCCTATACATACGTAGATAATAATAATATGTTCAATTGGCCCACTGCGGTTGGGCCCTATAACTCAACATGTTCAGTTTGGTTTGATCCGAACCGACTGAATGTCCACCCGTATGACATAAGCTACTAAGATTCTACAATCATAGTTAGTAAATACTTCGTTTAATACACGTATATATACTCGTACGTATTTTATCCATTTAAAACTTCTGTATCCGTATTATTGTAAAGTCGTTTCATTTTTCCCTGTTCATTTGATGGCTCCCGTACTAAACACGTATAAAACCCATATAACACGTTTATTATCCGTATTTTATGAATTAAATTGTTAACTGTACTATTATTTATATATTTATTTATTTTAAAAATAATTAATTTTATATATTTATAACAATTAACGTACTATTAAACGTAACTTTAGCTTAGAGACGAAGTGTAATACCTGTACGTATTTTATACGTAACTTTTCCGTACATTATTTTACTAACTCTACACATAAAATAATACGCTGAAGGGAAAAACAGGAGCCCCATTTCAAAATCCCTGCCTCCATAGCGTTTCTCGGAGGGGTAGTTTCGGAAACGAAAAAATTGGCTCGACTCCTATTGCGACGTTCAACGGGCCGGCTGATTTTTTTAAGCAATCAATCCGAGCAGCGCTCTCTCCGTCCTCCGTCTTCACCGCCGAAATTAGAAAGGCATCCGAGCAGCGCTCTCTCCGTCCTCCATCTTCACCCCTGAAATCAGGTAGAAATCTATTTTCGGTTCCATGTAGGGTTAAGCTTAGTTAGGTAATCGAACTCTCCGTTCTTCGTCTTCACCGCCGAAATCTATTTTCGATTCCATGTAGGTTTAAGATGAGTTCTTCGTGGTTGTGATTCTAGGTTGATGATGGACCTTTTTTCCTAGCAGGGGTTGTGCGAACAACGTCTACCGTGGCTGGGACTTCAGCTGGCGGTTTCCCCCTACGATAAACGCTATCTTCATGTGCTGGTTTCATTCATGCGCCTCCCAGCAAACAGTACGAGCTATTCCCCTCCCTCCCCTGAAACCCATTCGTTCTCCTCTCACCAACTACCAACTCAATCACTCAATTCCTTTCTCCCTGCGGATGACATGAATGCAATATACATGTACCGCCCAAATTAATTTCCAGCATCTCTTCTCCCCCTGCTTCAGCTCATTCGCCCAAATTAATATACATTGTGATATTTCAGAGACATTTAGCTCTTCTGCCTTCAATTATGTTTTCCTTTCAACAATCAAAGGTTTCCCCATCGAATTCTTTGAAGCGTCGAGTTGATTATTGACATTCTGGTCATTTCAGACTACAAGTAAGCTTCCCCCTTTATTCTGTCTCTTCTTCTAAAAGGGCCTATGATAAGAGGGTACAACATAATCAGTCTTTCTTGGTTCATTATTTGTTCCCGTAAGTTTGGCTTATCGTATGTGTGCGGTGTGGAATCTTGATTGTGTGCATGTACTGTGCTGCGTGTTTACATTGAAGGGTTCTTTTGGTTTAATGATTAACACGTATTTAATAGCTTGTTGGTCTGTACAAATTCTGCCAAAAAGGATTTTGTGCTATGGCATATGCATAATTAAGTAAGAACCCCATTTATTGTACTAAACTGAAGCGTAAAAGGCTTTTGGTGTTTAACATAATGGGCGATAATTGGCTGCTTACTGGGTTGCAGCGCATGGCTGCTACCCATTGACGTGCCAGCATACAATTGGTTCATAGAATTAACATTTAATTATTAAACTTAATAACAAGGACGGGAGACGGAACGGACGGAATCCTTTTTCTTGGACGGAGAAGCAACCAAACGGTGCTGTGTCTTTAACTTTTATTCCATTATTATATTCTATTATATATTTCTTTTATTAATTGGAAAAAGACATATAATAAAATTAAACACAGAGGTGCAGCCTCTTTAGGTTTTATTGCGTACTCAGATTTCAAATCAGCGCCGACGACGACATCTTTTCTTCTCACTGCCGGCTTCTTCCTAGCTCTAGTATCCATTGTGAAATTGCATTCAACTCCTCCAACGCCCGCAACTGGAAGACAGTTTGCGTTAATAATCTCTACTACTACTTTGACTGCCTTCGACGCTAGCTTTCTGAGATTCGGAGACCTCCAAATCAAGTCGAAAAGGTAAGATATGGATGCTAGGAGTTCATCTAAAACTAGTCTAATTAAATATGATGGTTTTTCATTAATATGAACTGGTTTTGTTTTACGGTACACAACCAACATATATGAAAGGAAAAGCTTTTCATTAGGTTAATATTAATTTAAATTTTTATTTTGTTGTTTGTGTATGCAGGTTTTCTTTGTGAAACTTGTATTTCTTGTAAAGAGGAACACATATGAGTTTTGCGGAAAAAGTTGAAGTGCCATGTATAGGTATGAAGTTCGATAGTGATGATAGTGCTTATGAATTTTATAAAGCATATGCCCATAGTATTGGTTTCAGTGTAAGGAAGGACTATATAAAGCGAAATCAAGTCGGGCAAGTGAAGAGAAGAATATTTTGCTGTTCTAAAGAAGGTGAAAAAGGGTTTGATAAAAGGCGTGAGTATGTGGCTTTTGAGCGACCAATTTCAAGAATTGGATGTTTGGCACATATGACATGCCAACTAAAAAATGATGGCTTGCTAGAGGTTGTTTCTTTTGAAGGAGATCATAACCATGAACTTGCTCCCACTCCCATGAAGCACATGTTGAGATCCAACAGGAAGATAAGTTATGCTCAGAAGGCTATTGCAGATGATGCTGAGAGAGCTGGGTTACCAATCAAAGCAACTATTGATTTACTAGCAATTCAGAATGGAGGTCGTGAAAACAACGGGTTTCTAGATTCAGACTATAGAAACTATATTGCTACCCAAAGAAAGGCTACAATGATAAAGGGAGATGGTCCGGCAATTATGGATTATTTTAGTAAAGCACAATCAGCCGATCCATCATTTTTTTATTCGGTGCAACTTGATGATGATGATTTTATCATGAATATGTTCTGGGTTGATGGTAGGTCAATCATTGACTACAAGTACTTTGGAGATGTTCTATGCTTTGATACCACTTATAGAACTAATGAATATGGTCGACCATTTGCTCCATTTGTTGGAGTCAATCATCTGAAGCAAACAGTAATTTTTGGGGCAGCATTACTCTATGATGAAACAATCACTTCCTTCAAGTGGTTGTTTGAAGCATTTTTGGGTGCAATGGATGGAAAGCAACCTAAGACCATTTTGACAGATCAATCAGCTGCAATGGCCAAAGCAATCGAAGAGGTATTTACTGAAACTCATCATCGTTTATGTGTTTGGCATATTTATCAAAATGCTGCTAAGCACTTGAGCCATGTGTTTCACGGATCCGACCAATTCTCTAGTGATTTTAGTTCATGTATATATGATGGTGAAGATGAAGATGAATGGCTTAAAGGTTGGGATGATATGCTTAACAAGTATGGTCTGCTGAACAATGAATGGTTGCAAGGTATATTTTCAATAAAAGAAAAGTGGGCTATGGTTTATGGACGTCATATGTTTACTGCTGATATGAAAAGTACACAGCGTAGTGAATCAATTAACAGTGTGCTAAAAAAGTATCTGAAGCCGAAGCACAATATGGTTACTTTTTTTTACCATTATAACAAGTTGGTAGAAGATAGAAGGTACCAAGAGTTGCTTGCAGAGTTCAAAATGAGGGACACCCGCCCTGTGTTAAAAACTGACGTTGAGATGTTGAGGCATGCATCAGAAGTGTACACTCCTAAATTCTTTAAGTTGTTCGAAGAAGAATATATGAAAGTTTGGGATTGTACGATTGATAAGATCAGCAAAACTGAAGGTCGGGTGGAATATAAAGTGAAATATGATGGTAGAGGTGCAGGGCATCGTGTATGGTTTGAGTCTTCATCACAAGCAGTTGAATGTAGTTGCATGAAGTTTGAGTTTGTGGGGATTTTATGTGCTCATGCTTTGAAAGTTATTGACAAGAAAAATATAAAGCACATCCCACAGCAATATATATCAAAGAGATGGACAAAGGATGCAAAAGATGGGGATTTGAGAAGTTCAGTTCGAGTGGAGGGAAGTTCTGAGAAACTCACAGGGAAGCGTTACTTCAATATGCATTATAATTTTCGAGAGATATCTGCACTGGCAGCTGAGAGCGACAGAATGTATGAGCATGCAAGTGAAGTTTTTTCAAATTTGCTGAAGGATTTGCAGGAAATGAAGAAGTGCTCAAATGGTGGAACTTCTAATGAGATATTATGTTCTAATAATGAAGAAGAGTATCCAAGTGTAGCCGGAGTTAAATCAAAAGCTACTATTGGACGACCAAAAGGAAGAATTAGAGGTGCATTAGAGCGACAAAAAAGTCACAAAGTTCAATCAAAATCAAAGGTTCTACCCCTCCCTTGTTTGTTTTTATAATATAAAACTATTATAATATTTATTTATATTAGTTATTCACTATATATTATTTATTATACAGGGTAAGAAGGTGAAAGCTAGTTCTTCTCGACAAGTAGAAAGCAGTATTGAAGTGCAAATACAGAATAATCAGGTTTTTCTTTGTCTGTTTTATATTTCAAAGAAATATGATAGTGTTTTTATAATGAGATAAGTGAAAATATCATATGAATAATATCTTAACAATTGGTTGATTTTAGGTGATGAACAATGATCAATTTCAAAGATCAATTATTAGTTCAGCTGGAGAAAACTTGGAATCTACACCTTGTGTAAGCAATATATCATTCAAACAATTGTTACAGGTATGAATTCAATTTTATTATTTATTTATTTATTTTGATTTTATTGAAAATTTCAAGACTAATATCATTCTTATCTTATTTTTTGCAGGACATATCAAATCCACACATATACGATCCTGAACACTGATAATGTTTATTTTTTCTTGGTACCTTAGTAAGATTATTATTATGTCTGAAGAGATTATTTTCATATGATTTATTTTTGGCATTTAGGGGATGAATTTCGTACTTTTGTTTTTTGGTACAATTTGTTTGGGATAGATGCTTTGGCCTTTGTGGTATTCTACTATACTGAATGCATTTGATAGTATGTTCTCTAAATTTTAGATTATATCTATATAAAATTATTTGTAAACAAAATATATTGGGCATATATGGTACAATTTAATATGCTTCTAATAGTACATAAAGAAGGTGAAAAGTATTGACCGTGAGGTTGAAGACAAAATGAGACATGGAGGTATATAATATTAGGCTGGAATGCATGTACAAAAGAGGCAACACCTCTGTGTTTAATTTTATTATATGTCTTTTTCCAATTAATAAAAGAAATATATAATAGAATATAATAATGAAATAAAAGTTAAAGACACAGCACCGTTTGGTTGCTTCTCCATCCAAGAAAAAGGATTCCGTCCGTTCCGTCTCCCGTCCTTGTTATTAAGTTTAATAATTAAATGTTAATTCTATGAACCAATTGTATGCTGACACGTCAATGGGTAGCAGCCATGCGCTGCAACCCAGTAAGCAGCCAATTATCGCGCCCTAACATAATTATGTAATATAATACTTAGAAAAGCCTTACATTTTACTTATACACATAATTGAAGGCTTTTGTTGCTGTACATAAATATCTAACATATATAATAGGATAGATAAGCCTTTACATCTTATTTATGAACACAACTAAAGGCTTTTGTCCTTGTAAAGAAATATGTATATACATAGTATATAGGTAGATGTTTCGTTGGTGTGATGTGGTGCTCCTAGGTGTTGGTGTTACTCTGGGTCTGATATAACCAAAGTTTTCTTGCGCCTTTTGTAGCACTTGACTTCAACTGTGCTGTGGTTTGCTGGTTCGACTATAGCTTTGCGTTTCTTTTTTGCTTTATCCATTGTTTTTGGCGCTTCTTCCATTTTGGTCATCTGGTTTGCATTTGTGGTTGCAATTGCTTGAAGCTGTGTTTGGCTGGTGCTGGTACTTGCTCTGTCCTTTGATGGGCCTTGAGCTTTGTTAAGCTGTTGTAATATGTTATGAAATTGAATAGAGATGCATATTAAAATAGAATGAAAATGATTACATACTAATTGAATCAATAATGGAGGCGACAGTTTGTTGATCCGTTTGTTTTATGCATTGCAAATTTATTAGCATGTTGATGGAAATGGCTTGGAAAGAAGACATATAAGTTGTACCTTTGCAGCAATGTCCTCAAATGTTTGAATGCTTTGTGAATCAGGTTCCGTGACTTTTGTGATGGTGTATGTGCTTGACGATTGGTCGATGTTGTAACTGCTTAATTTGAGAGTAAATCTTTTGATTTTCCCTATGAATTGTGATACCAGTTTTGGTGGTTGCAGCATGTTGCCGTTGTTGGCCTGTAAAGTTGTTCCGCCGTTATGCTAAATACCTTTCTTTCTTTTTAAACAAATTGTGTAGTAGTGCTATGAAACAGACCACCCATGAACGCTACGTTTATTATGGTATGTTCTTACTTCCGGTGGTGAGAAATTGTGAATTAGAATCATATTCTCCTACCGCACTATGTCTGGCTGGTGGCTTCTTACTGTGCTCTCTAGAGTTATGAAACAGACTACCCATGAATGTTACCCTTAAGAGTCCATAACTTTGCGAAAAAGCATGTTGGATGTCTGATGATTTTTTATGGCTTAATTGTTTGTGAATTGGATATCTGATCTTTGTATGGTTAGAGGGGATGTTTGCTTAATAGAATAATCCATTTTGATTCATGTTTATATTTAACATGAACTTTAGTAACTCAAAACCTTCGATACACGTATCACCTACTACATTGTGTCATTTTGCCTGGGTGCTTGCTGTGTTGTCAAACTTCTTTGCTGCTGCTGCTTTTACAGTAACAGGGAGTTAAGAACCCATGAATGCTTCCATTTGACACAAACAGGAGGAGTTGCTTCTAAATCGTGCAATAAAGATGATTGGAGGAAACATCTCTGTTGCAGTCGATATACTAGAGACCATAACAAAAGCAACGTATAACATCAAAACCAACCATCTGAACTATTAGCATTGTTGTTTTACTCTTTTTTCGTGGTTGAGTCTCCATCAAAAAATTTAGTTTGATTTTAGAAAATTTTGCTTCTGCAGTCCTGTCTTGCCACCAACGCGTTCAGTGATGGAGATGGCAGAGGCGAAGGCTATTTTTGTGTTGTTGTTGCTGGTTTAGTGATCGATTTGTGAGGAAGAGGGAGAAGATAAAGGGAAAGGGAAATGCAGGAGAGGGGGATAACTCTTTTCTCCGACAAAAATGGAGTGAAGAAAGGAATTATGATCAGTAAGAATATGGTTATCTTACATTACAGTCTCTATTCTATTTGAATTGAGCTTGGGAGGCAGTGATAAGGACGAGCTGCAACCAATTCATAATGAGAAGAGAGCTATGAACTGTGAGCATGTCTTATTTCAAGTTAGAAGGTAGTTTCAGTGTAAGGATTATTTAATTTGACAAGTTGTCTCATCCATGATTCTTGGTAGTTTCAGTGCCATTCTAGTCATTGTTTAGTCTGTAATTTTGAAAAGTGATGTGCGAGTAATGACTTTCACTTAGCTTCGACTATTATGTGTGTACTTATTGGCATGTGATAGAATTCTCTTTTCCTTTTCTTTGAATTTAGTTTCATACTCTAATTGTATCATTTGTACATAGGCAAATCATGCTCGAGATGACAACTCACTAATATGGCTGGTACAAGGAACGAAGCCATCATTAGAATTCAGACCGACAACGGGGAGGGATACCCAGGACCAATTCAATGATGATTGATGATGGTATAATAAAAAATGCAGTTTGCACTGACACCAATTTCTAGGCCCAAGTAAAGTTATTCAACCCAGAACTCTGCTTAACGCTAAAAATTGCCCTCACCCAACCTTGATCCTGTTTGACCCACGTCTGAAGGGTCAAGATATATGACTAATCCTCTCCGTTCGTGTTTTCTTATTGACTCTTTCTGATCCTTTAGGTTGGGGCGGGTCGGGAAGAATCAGATTAGTGGGTCAGTCCTAATCAAGTAGAATCCCAATCCCTTCACTCTCACTTGCTTTCTCTTCCGTTCCACAAATAGGTAATCATAAAGTAATCCGGATATGGCTGTATGCTACTAGGGTTGGGTATTTGGTCCGGGTTTTTTGGTTTTACCCGAAATCGGACCATATAACCCGGACTGGGACCGGATAGTATACAATCCAATCCAATTTTTGGGCTTAGATTTGAGGTAAAAAAACCGTTCGGGACCGGATCGAAAACTGGATAAAGACCGGATAAGAGAGCTCAACACCAAAACCTTAAGGGTAATTTGCATAAACGGTCACAAACCTTTGCACTTAGTGCAAAACTTAACCAACTCCTCACCTTTTCAGGCCTTAGGCCACTCAAATCCCCACAAGCTCAATATAAAATCAAGACCGAATTGGGATCAAACCAGGTTAAGACCGGACCGTATCCAATCCAATTTTTGGTTCTTATATTTTAAAAAAGATCGAACCGGACCAGATCAATTTGATCCAATTTAACCGGACCAGACCATTTAGCCACGCTACAACGAGAACAAATACAAGAAGGGTAAAAGAGTCTCCGGATACGGCTGTATGCCGCGGACTGCATGGGCCTCATGGAAACCGACGAAACGGACCCAGCAGTGGCTGAGTCTCGGCCCAATACTCTTTTCTCTTCATTTTAGCCATGTTCTTCCTTATAATTAAAAAAGAACACCTTTTCAGTTATCCTTTGGATTATTTTTTCTAAAAACTCTTACAATGCCTTACTGAGAGGTCACTTTTTTTGTTTTTGTTAATGTCTCTCCCCACCAAACGCTCTGCCACTGCTGCTGCCACCACGTCTTCCTCCACCGCCGCCGGCTCCTCCTCTAGTTTCCCCCCGATGAAGAAGGCCAAGTCTCAGGCCCTCTCCGCCTGCTCTCCTCTCGACCCCTCCTCCAACAAGAACGGTCTCCACCACCATTTCAGCGCTCCTAATTCCGCCGATAACGATGTCCTCTTCGAGCCTTCCTCCATGGCCCTCGACGACGATCCTAAGCTCGTCGATGCCACTCCTCCCGCCGCAGCTAATTTGTCTCGCAAAAAGGCCATCCTTCCCCAACCGGCCAAGAAGCTTGTCATCAAGCTCCTTAAAGGTACCAATTCGCTCCCCCGTACTTTCTTCTCGTCGCAATTTGAGGCCGAGAATGGGATGATCTCTTTTTTCGCTGTCAAAATTAATCAAGGGGTTTTTTATAATCCCATTAGAGAGATAGTTCGACTAGCTGATTGATTAAGCTTGGACTCGGGAATTGACCTTGATAAAATGCTGAAGCGCTGATCTTTGCTTTCTTCTATGGATCCGTGCTGGCAGCAGTTTCCTTCTTTACCTACACTGTCAAGACATTCATAGGCTCGTGTTCGTTCATTTGGGATTGTTGCTCTGTTAATTCAGCGTAGTCTAAACTTCGGTTCAGTTAGTGTTATGTTAAATTGTGCAATTTCGTGTCATTTGGGACAGTCAGCTATTAGGTTTTGATATTTTGTCATGCATGAGATGGCAATAGGAGGGTTACACATCCTTGAACAGGGGTTCCGTTTGTCATATACTTAGGTTTTTGTTATAGACCCTGGCATTGGCATAGTTGATAGTTCATTGATCTGATTAAATATGGAAATGACTTACCTAGCTTGGGATTATGTTTCTCTGCCCATGTCAGATTTTTCATGTATTCACTTCATTTATAGCTGTTATTAGCTCACAGTTGCATGAGTGGCTTAGAAATGGGTTGTCCCCTTAGTCTTGATTGCTATGTTTTATGCACATTGAGGCGGTGTATTACCAACAGCACAGGCCTACACATCTTGGTGGCAAGTGGCAACTTCTAGCT